CTTCTGATATTTATGAAAGGAGGCCGCGAATATTGTAATATGGTGCTGGAAATGAAATCGGGTTTAACATCGTACTTTTCAGCACCAACCGGGATAATGAAGACGGCCAATACCGCGCTGGGCAAAAACACCCCCCCCCCCCCCAAAAAAAAAAAAAAACAACAACCCAAAACAACCCGGGACGGAGGATGGGACGATAAATATAGGTCCCGTGCACTATTGACACTTGGCATTCAATGAAATGAAAAGTGAGTAGGCTATTGGTCCTGCGTTCGACCCCCTCCCCGCCCCCGTGTTAGCGTATCTTGGGTGGGGAGTCTTCTCAACGGTTTCCTCCCACAGCAAAAACCTCTGCGCATGGGTTGAATTTACCAAAAGCCTAGGTTTGTCTGTGGTATCACTCAGAGTTGAAGTGGACGTTAAATCTCCGATTAACCAATGATGAAATGAACTTGAAACCGCCCCAGTCCGGGCAAATTGTTTCACATACCACACTGCAAGGTGTATTATAAATGATAAAGTCTGTTGGTACACGAAAATTTTACATGGTATAGCGTGTCCTGTTACAGGCCCAACACGTAACTGTTCAGTATTTATTTAGTAATGGAGGAGTTATCTCCCATTATTTGAAAAAATTGAACAGCTGATATAAAGTGAGAGAGAAATTGGGATTAACGTTCAATCGACACAAACTACATGTATGTCATATGGTTCAATTTTATTTCAATAATTCGCTTGCGCGTAGGAGTCTTTAGCGGTGGGAGGAAACCGGAGGACCTGGAGAAAACCCACGAGGTTGGACAGGCGACCCTACTCCTTGTCACGTACAACCGGGAATTCGAAACTACGCCAGTTGACTCAATGACAGACCTTATGATACAGCGCGCACGCACTAACTAAATGTTTCTTTTCGTTTGAAAAAAAAGAAGAAAGGCATGACTTTTACATTGTGACGTTATAGTATTGTTTTCGTTTTCGCGTATGACGTCATGTACTGTTCGTTTAATTTTTGTCACTACAGCAACGAAGTTGATAGCTACAGGTTTTTTTTTTTGTATTTGCTGCATCTAAGTGCATAAAGAAGTGTAACATTCCATTTAACATGGCTAAGAAACCAAAAGCCGAGCGAAAAGGCAGTCCAACAGAAAGTGGACGAAGAAAATCATTTATCGGAGCAATGGCTGTAAGTAAATTCTCATGATACGGTCTTGTTTCACTTGACGAATAGACCATAGATTCTCTCAGTCTATGGATATTTTTCTCTCAATTTTCTTTTCCTTGTTTATAGCATCTCGTTTACGATGATAGGCCAATAAAATACGAGTTAGAAATAAGGAATACTAATATACATTACTGAAAGATGCATTATTATGTAAGAGCCAAATCTGTATAATGCAGATCTTTCGTTTGGCCTCAAGTAAGATAAATCATAAATTAGACATTTATTCGATGGTTTTGACATTTAACGGATTTGAACACGATTGCCAGTTAATAAATTAGGTAAAAAATGGATACTCGAGACTTTGTTTATTATCGTAACAACGGTAGCAATAACACTCGAGATTAGTCCTACACTGTTCTTCAAACGGCAATAACTTCGCTCAGAATGACGTAATTTGACTGAAATTTTCAACATTTTCCCTTTTCATTATCTATTTTATTTGACAATTTTAGCTAGAATTGTCATCTCTTTATCTCTAAATATTATCTTTGAATAATAATGAAATATTTTCTCATTTCTATTTTTGTTCAGGATGACAGTAAAAAGAGAAAAGCCAAGAAGGGTGGGCTTGACGAAAAGCTCACAGAGGAACCTTATAATCCTCTTCTAGAGTTCGTGCCACTGTCAAAGAAGCTGCTATTACCCTGTGCATTTTGGGATTCAACTCTAGCAAAGCTGCGTATCAAACAAAATGTGAGAAATGTTCAAGCCCGCGATGTTGTATCCAAACCTCCACCAAAAATGGAATCATTCAGTGTGAAAAAGGTTGTGAAAAAACCAGGATCAATAGTAAAGAAATACGCGGTCGCTCACCCAGTAGCATCGGAAGATGACCTCAACTTGTGGATTCCCAAAGGCCACGAGGGCATGCAGTTAGACGGAAGTGGAGGCATAGTACCTTATAGCATATTGGGTAGCGTTGATGAATATTTGGGTGAAGCCCAGAGACAAGGTCATCTCGTATCCACACCAGTCACACCAAAGCCAAAATCACTTCAGAATGTGAATAATCACACTGAAACAAAGCGCCATAAATACTGCATTGCCAAAGAGTTCAATCAAGAGCGAGCTCTTTCTTGTTTCGATGAGTCTAAAAAGGAAAGACAAAAGTTGGGAATCTTTATTTCACGTATAACAAAACGAAAACCCCAAGATCTTTCAATGGGGGCTAGTCAGAAGAATATTGTTCTTGGGGGGAAAATCAATTATGCTCAGTCTGTGGATGTGTGGGCTTGCGAGAAACGAATTACGAAACCAGTTGGATTCTGGAAGCAGGAGTTGCAACTAGGAGACGAATTAAGGGGGTTTCATATCTCCTTGACAAACACTGAGAAGGACCATCCACCAATTAGGGAACTCATTGTCACCCCTGACTTAAGTCGCACACGAGAGATCTACCAGTCAGGAAATCGTCAAAATGCATCAAGTAGTGTTCCAGATGTCAACAACTTAGGTGTTTTTGGTACTACTGTAAACTCTTCAACTTTCAGTGATATACCTAAAGCTAACAAATCCACTAAAACACTTGAACAAAAACCACAAATCAATCCATTACCAATGGTGAAAAACAAGATTGCTACAGGTCCTGCTTTGGATATAACTGGAAAGATCATCAGGTGGTCAGAGGATGACAAACTCGTGCCGGTAGAACTTGGAATTAGTGGTCACCCAGGAGAAATTATAATGTCAAATCTGCCGATTAAAAATTGTGGCAGCTGCGTGATTCATTACCAGTTATGTAAACTACACGGAGAAGACAAATTCAACTTGGCCCAACATTCAGCCGACAAACTTTACATCGACGATGCATACGGCATCATCCTCCCTAACGAAATCAAAAATATTTGCGTGATCTTCAGAAGTAAAAACCCTGGATTATTTTCAGAGAAATGGCGACTAACGACTACACCAGCATTATCTCAAAATGCTGGTATTATCATCACAGTTTGGGGTATGGCAAAAGACAAGAGGGTTCTCGGTGAAGACGGTGAAGAACTTGTAAAAGCGCTAGAATGTAACATTACTACAAGGATGGCGAATGATATTATTAGTGAATTGCTTGATCGCGTTTGCTTTGAAAGGAGAAAAACAAATCCGAAATATAAAGACTATCCTAAACACCATAAACACGTGCTTCTTACCATACCACCAGCTAATGAATTGTTTGCTCTCACTAACCCAGGTTTAGTTTATCACAGCGGACCTGTTAGTAAAATAATGGAAATTGCAAAACTGGCCTGTCCAGAAACCCCGGTTAATAAATGGACTCTCCCGCTAAATATTATAAGAGACGCAACTTTCACTCTTCCAGATCCTGTTCAAAAGGGTAAAGAAGTCATTCCAAGATATGAAGTAACAAATAAATTAATGTCTCATGTAGAAGCATTATCATATAGCGTACAACAACCACTTTCTACCCAAAAGACGGATATTTGTAAGAAGTTGCTATTAGATCTCCTTGATGATATTTGTGATACAGCTTGTAGACTTAAAAAGGTGCATAAGATAACGCTTGATATGGATTTCAAAATCGAACTCCCTAAAGAAGACAATCCGGTTCCAGTTAAGTCACAACCTAAAACTCCACCGAAAAGCCCATCACGGGACGTTAAGAAAAAGAAAAACTCGGCGTCAATGAAATCCACATCTCAAAGTGCCCCAGCGAAAAGGCCATCAACAGGTGCAAACAGGTTAGGTCGAATCGCAAAAGGAATTGCTAGTGCTAAAAAATCTCAATACGAAAGACGTGCGAAACCTATTATGTATAAAAAATATCTAGAGAAATTAAATATTTGTACATATTTAATTATTAGAAATATGCTGGATAGACTACAGTCGTATTTATCTGATTATTAACTGTATATTTTGTAAAAACACGGCCTTTTCTAAATAACAATATAATAATAATAAAAATAAATAATAGAATAGATTTTTAAATAAAAATATAACATTGCTTTTTTGTGTATATAAATTATTACTTAATTAGAGTGTGTGCAAATCATTTCAAAATTGGCCATTGACCCTGGCCTATATGAAATGGGGTTAAGAGAGAGCGAGGGAGAGAGAGAGAGAGAGAGAGAGAGAGAGGGGGGGGGGGCTTAACATGCACTCGCCACAAACTAGGTGATATAGTTCAACTTTAATTTTGAAGAACTCGCTTGGGCGTAGGGTTGGGTTTTTTTAGCAGTGGGAAGAAACCGGAGAACCAGGAGAGAACCCACGAGGTTAGACAAGCAACCCAACTCCTTAGAATTGAAACCCCGCCACACAACTCAATGACAGGCCTTATGATCTTAAGCGCATGCGTTAGACCCCCTCCTTTTTGGTGTCATTAGTAGATTTTGTGAATTATTCTAATGCCTTCGATGTTACAATAAAAGACAACAGAAAACAGGGTATAATATAATATGCACGCCAATAGATATATGAGCGGGGCGAAACTAAACAATACCCCAATAAAATTGGTTCTTGAAAACTATGGATATTTTTTTTTCCTTGTTCGTATAAATAGTGGAAATTTAACACACTTGATCAAACTTCTGTGATTTAACAATAAATTAAGATATATTGGTGACCCAAAAGAATAAGATTGGTTCCGTTGATTTGACGCCGCTATAAAGTTGTTCCGCGAAGCATTAACTTATTAATTTACATTCCGCGAAGTAAGAGTAATCCGCGAAGCACTACATTACAGGTTTTGATTGGTTGGAAATGCGTGACGTATCATAAGATTGGCTATATAAGCCCGACACTGCGATCACATCACATCAGTACATCAATACAGTGATTTAAAGCGAATAACAGCTATATATACAATTAATAGTCACTAGTGTACACCTTTAGAGGTTAGTATTTAAAGAAAGAAACAAAAGATCGATACAACAACAACAACATTCCAATCACATTAAATTCGTTAAATTCTTAGACAACTTAATTCAATTTATTAAATACAACTTATTAAAACTTTACATTTTATTGCAGAAAATATTCCGGTTAAAAAGTCAAGATGTTGCCTCCTGGTGGATTAATGGAGATTGTTTTCTCATTTGATACAACTGGTTCTATGTCAAGTTGTTTAAATCAGGTCAGAGGTCAAATACAAGACATGGTTCAACGTCTTCAAGCAGATATACCGTCTATAAGAATGGCTGTATTTGCTCATGGTGATTATTGTGATAAATCTACATATGTAACTAAATATATAGATTTTACAACGGATGTTAACAAATTATGTGATTTTGTTAAAACAACGGGATCAACAGGAGGGGGTGATACTGATGAATGTTATGAACTTGTTTTAAGACAAGTAAGAGAAGATTTATCGTGGACTCCTGGTTCAAGAAGATCATTGGTACTTATTGGTGATGCTCCACCACATGAACCTAGCTATCCTCAAAATACTCTTAATATAGACTGGAGAGACGAGGCTGATATTTTAGGAACTATGGTAAGTTCTGCTCACAATGTTAATGTATCTATTATTTGGAATTTTTTATGATTAAAGTAATTAAGATCATACATTTATTTCATATTGGATTGATATTTGAGATTTTTTTTTTCATTTTTCAGGGAGTTAAGATTTACGCAACACAATGCCAAAGTAGCTCTTCAGCTGAAAAATTCTACAAAACTATAGCGCAAAAAACTGGTGGTCATCATCTGAAATTACAGGAATTTTCTAATATTTTTGATTTTCTGATGGCCGTAGCTTACAGAGAACATGGCGACGAACTTTTCCAAGTAAGTTGAAATGAAAGTATTAAGTGTATAGATTATGTCCAAAAAAGTAACAACATGCATTAGTATATGTTTCTACAGCGTACTTAAAACGTTAATAAAACAATATTCCCCCTTTTATCTTTACTTTATACCTTACGATAGTAATACTTATACTAAATTTGTTTGTTATTTCAATTGTAGGTTTATGAAAAAGAAGTAAGAAGTCGATGTGGGACAGGTTTAAATAAAGATTTAAGCGACCTGTTTACAACGTTAAGAGATGGTGATATTGATTCCACAACTGATGATACAACAGTGACTTCTACTTCCCTTCCATTTAAAAAGAGAAAGACATCACCAGGGAAAGTTACTTCAGCTAAAAGGGTTAAACTGAGCGATGCGTCCAAGACAGCAACAGCTCCATATAAAAAACCTACTTCATCTAAAATCAGCAGAGCTATTAAAACTGCAAAGGTGAGTTATTTCCAAACATTTGCATACTTTACAGTCTTTTTTGTTCATGTGACGTGAATAATTTGAAAATATTTGGTAATATATGAATATGCTCTGCATTAAAATAAATCTTTAAAATTATCTATGTAGCTTATTTGGGACTTATGTTTAAGTCCAGTCAGTATGTCTACATGATTAACTTATTTTCTCATTTTGATTTTTTTTTTCAGAGAACAATTAAGGAAGTCAAAGTAGCTTATCCACGTATCAGAAGAGAGATGATTGCCGAAAATCATTTTTATTTGAACGATAAGAAATGGTCACCATGGCAACAAGTAATATCCCATGATGCTGGTTTAAATAAAAATGGTGATTGGCAACAACAAGGTTCTTATTACAGAAAAAAAGCAATATTTCAATTTGATGCAGAGACACCTTCTATGTATGAAGTCTCCGTTCAAGCTAAAAGAAGAAGCAAACGTTACATAGTCTATAACAAAATGGCGCACAGAGTTTCCGGTAAATGGGAAAGACGTCTGTTTGCACAATCTGACATTAAGAAACAAGTTAATAAAATAGCTGATCGAGGTTACAATTTATATGTGAGAAGACTTCCGTTAACTTCTGCAGCTTTAAAAAGGGACACTATAACGGCTTTACGTAGATACGATTATTCATGGAGAAAAATCAGAAATGTACGAAACAACCATCGTCAAGTAAATATCTCTTCAACAATCATATCTGATGATGTGTTATAAACTGAAAACCTGTTTTGTGCATTCAAATTTATTTTCAGATTAATTAGCCGCTGTACGGACCGAACTTTAAATATACTATTCAAAAAAAGTAGGGGATATTTGATTTTTAAGTGTTATTAAAGTCACCTAATGAAACTGACGAAGAAACAAATGACAAAATGAAATGAAGTTCACATTCATCGATTTATTCCAAATGATCGTTAGACTAAGTAAGGCACAGACTGACCATTATAAGGGTAAAATGATACCCGGGGTCAAACAGCAAAGTTACCACAGCATCACAACCAAGTCAGTAACGGGTAAATCCTCCTCTGTTTGCCAAACAAGCATTGATCCGACGTGGCATACTCCTAATGAGACGTCTAAGGTCATTTTGGTCCAGATTGTCCCATTCCTGTTGCAACGCAGCAGCAAGTTCTTGGACATTGGCAGGACGTTGTTGACGTTGACGTAACCTCTGTCCAAGCATGTCCCAGACATGCTCGATGGGGGAGAGGTCGGGACTCAGTGCTGGCCAAGGTAATGTGGTGATGTTCTGTTGTTGGAGGTAACCTGTAACGATCCTGGCCCTGTGACATCTTGCGTTGTCATCCTGGAAGATGAAACGGCGGCCATGACGTCGTGCGAACGGCACAACATGGACTGCCAAGATGTTGTCCCGGTAGTACTGGCCTGTAACACGCCCTGCAACAACATGTAAAGCCGTTCTTCCAGCAACAGTGATGCCTCCCCACACCATAACAGAACCACCCCCAAATCGATCATGTCTGATGACGTTAACGTCTTGGAAGCGCTCGTTTCGACGACGCCACACCCTCCTACGTCTGTCCAAAAAATCAACAGTGAACCTTGACTCATCTGAAAACATCACATTGCTCCAGCGTCGATTATCCCAGTGTTGACGATCCCTACACCAACGACGTCTTGCCTGAATGTGATGATCTCTCAAACAAGGGATCACGCGAGGACGTCGGGCGGGAAGGTGACCCCTATGCAGTCGATTCCGAATCGTCTGGCCACTCACTCTCACACCAGTGTCTGTTTGAAGACGAGCGCTGATCTGATTTGCTGTGATGACACGATTTCTCAAGGCCAAGGTACGGATAAATCGATCCTGGGCTTGAGTTGTCGCCCTTGGTCGACCTGAGCGTGGTCTGTCCTGTACAGATTGTGTATCACGGTATCTGGACCATAGCCTGCTTATGACAGACTGAGAAACATTCATCGTCCGCGCCACAACCGCCTGTGTTGTGCCGATCTGTAGCATGCCAAGGGCACGTAACCTTTCATTTTGGGTAAGCCGACGCATATCAAAATTTGTTTTCTGGTCACTAAAACAATTAAACTGATGTTTCCACCCTGGAATTCAATGCCACAATGACTGTAACATTCAAAGTCAGAGTCGTGCAAATCTTGGGTTGGACCCCCATGATGATCCCAAGCATCACCTGCATTCTATGCGGTAGCTATTGGTGCGTTTGGGCGTCACATGTAACTGGAAATGTTTCTTCTGTTAGGTTCTATAGTGACTTTTTTCGTAGTCATTTGCATATTTTAGTATTATGCCCCCAAAATCAAATATCCCCTACTTTTTTTGAATAGTATATTTTACATGCATGTTTGTTTTGTGACAATTAGCAATTGTACTAATTAAAACAGAGTTAAAGTTGCTATGCTACAGTGTAGTTTTGTGTAATGGGTGACCATGTAAAACTGGAGACGAGATTATGTGAACAAAACTTGTTGTTGTCTAGTCTAATGATATTATGAATTATGATCATATGTAAATTAAATCGCCATGAACATAATATCATTTGATAAAAAGAAAGTGTATTGTATATATTATATATATTTGACCATTATATATTCATATCGTACATTATTCATAAATTAAATAGTTGTTTGTTATATTTGGAATAAAATGTTACCTTAAATCGCATGTAAATAAAACTCGATATTACGGTCATATGTAAATAAAATCGTCATGAACAATATATCATTTAGTAAACTGCCAGTGTATTGTATTTATTATGTATTTTGTATATATTTGACCATTATGTATTCATATTGTACATTATTCATAAATTAAACAGTTTTTTGTTATATTTGGAATAAAATGCTATCTTGAATTTCATGTATTTCTCATCGTCTTCCTTCCTTTATGTCGTTAAACGCCATACAGTCGTCCTGCTTTCATTGCTAACAAAAATAAGTCACCTCGTTAATATGACGACACATTAAATTCCACATTCTGCATTTCCTAGTATCGTGCTAACTTCCAACTTTTAAAGGAGCTAAGTCGCTAATATTTTGGATCTAGATATTGGCACAACTGAGTCGCAACACATACAGTAATGTAATATGAATTTATATAAACTGTTTTGCATTCAATCGTGTCCGTTTTTCTGTGAATTGTCATCAGTTATGTTCGGCGAAATACGCCAGAGGTCTCAACCGCAAGTCAGTTTCTAGCGTCTGGTTATTCTAGTTAACACCGATATTATTTATTGCGCATGCTCTCCAAATAAGAATATGATATCACCGTTTGACATGACTTGTGGAATATGTCTAGCTTCATTCTTTGAGCACCTTGTTACAAATGGCGCTGAAACGCATTGTGTACCAATGGTAAAATGTTTATTTTGTCTTAAATATTGGATATCATAAGCCCATCTTTTCCAGGTAAAATCACAACACCAATGATGATTTAAATTGCAAAGAAAATCGTGTTTTCAATGTCGAAGATTTTGGATGATACTGAGTTACGGACTTAGCTACTTTAAATTCTAGTGATGTGCATCATGCGAGATTTAAATTTGTCTATTGCCTGGATTTTTTTTCTGACTTTGTAAATAATTATTGTTTAGACATGCATCTCATGACAAGCCCACAATAATCAACTCCCTATACCAGGAAATTGATGTAGAGATTAAAACAACTAGATTCTACAAAATAATTATGTAATTTCTTATGATGCTTCTGATGTTTAAAATGTATCAAGTGCTTTGTGATTACCACCTAAATACAGCAGTTGTTTTGCATTTATTAATTCATATATAAAAAAATAATAATTCACATTTATTGCAAGGACTTGTGTATATATATATAAGCCAGGGATAGTAAAACACGACTGTTAGGTGTACCTCACAACTTGATACATTTGTCCATGATCAGTTTGGTGAAGCTTCGTTTATTTTCGAGGACCAAATGATCAGAGAGAGAGGGAGAGAGAGAGAGAGAGAGAGAGAAACTAGGTCATTTCGGAACTAACATACGGTTCAATTTTATTTTAAATAATTCGCTTGCGCGTAGATATCTTTAGCTGTGGCACGAGAAAACCCATGAGGTTCGACAAGCAAACCTACTCACGTACAGCCGGGTAATCGAAATCACGCCAGTTGACTCAATGACAGATCTTATGATACAACGAGCACGCGCTAACCATTCGGCCATCCACTTCCCTCCAGAGGATCAGAGATGGCTTCAAGCAAATGGGTGATGCAAAAACTAGCTGTAATTCAGAACTAACACGGTTATATGGGAAACAATCACTGGTTTATTATACACAAGCACGACGTTTCGATAAGTATCCTCTTATCGTTTTCAAGCAATACTAGTAAACTAGGAAGTCTATATATATATAAATGTACAATGTGAAGCCATACTTAATTAATCAACAATTAATTACGTATAGCTTCACAACAATTATTTAAGTATGGCTTCACATGTAAAGACATTTAATGTCTGGTATTGAAATCTCTGAAGGGGAAGACAGCATAGATCACAACCTCCTGCATATACCTACGTTCGAGCTGAAGTGCTCACTTGCTGCTTAGAGTACTGTTTTGTTTTGTAGTACTGTTTTTGGTCTATGTCCTCTTCTACTTCAGGGATTTCAATATGGAATCCATGGTAGCCATGGTAACGGGAAACCCAATTGGAAAATAAAAGAGGCTGATTGGGCTAACTTCCGTGTAGGCTGCCTTGGGTGTAAAGAAGAAGACATCATCGATGCCAACATCGACGTGTAGGCAACCAACATGACGAGTGCTATTATAGGTGCCACAGACGACTCCACTCCCAAGACTTCTGGAGGGCAATCAAGGATTAGAAAACCTTGGTGGTCACCAGAATGTCAGAAGACGGTTAACGAAAGAAAGAAGGCACTACGCCTACGGAAACGCCACTACAATGAAGTCAATCACCAAAACTACCTGAAGTTGAAATACGCCGCAAGAGACACCATCCGGAAGGCACAAAGCGGACACTGGATGACATTCTGTAATGCGTTGAATCAAAACACGCAAACAGGTGCCGTCTGGAAGAAGCTGAACGCCATGAACGGGAAGCGCAGATCATTCAACATACCAAACCTAAAGAATGGAGATGAGTACGTTACCAACGGCAATGAAAAGGCAGATCTACTTGCAAAAGCTTTCGCTGACGCAAGCAGGGACGAAAACCAATCACCAGAGTTTCTGAAGAGAAAGGAAATCTTTTACTCACAACACCCTTCATTAGAAATTGAACCTAATGAAGGGGCTAAACCAATCAATCTACCCTTCTCTGAGGAGGAGTTAAATAAGGCTCTTTCCCTAAAGAAGGATAGTGCGGCTGGTGAGGACAAAGTAAAGTACTCGATGCTCAAACATCTGCCTAGAAATGCCAAAAGGATACTACTAAACTTCAACACATCCTGGCTGGCAGGAGAGGTACCTAAAGAATGGCGGAAAGCCAACGTCATCCCTCTTCCAAAACCAGGTAAAGAGAGAACAAAGGCAGAGTCCTATTGACCAGTAAGTTTGACATCCACACTGTGCAAAACCTTGGAAACAATGGTTAACATACGACTACAGTTTTATCTGGAGAGCAACCGACTAATCGACGAAAATCAAAGCGGGTTCAGGAAAGGGCGTTCAACAACGGACCACTTGGTGAGACTACAGCAAGTCATGTCGCAGGCACTCCTCTCTGGGAACCTGTTATGTGTCGTGTTCGTAGATTTAACTAAGGCTTTCGATTTAGTCTGGCTAGACGGGCTGCTCTTCAAGTTAGGACGTATTGGTGT